GTCACCGCTGGTGTTGCATCGTTAAGAACACCAACGGAATCTTTCCAGTCGTGTTTTCTCGGAACGTTTGATGATGCTGTAGCATCTGCACAGGTTATATAGATTTGAATGATGAATGAATTCTCTTGAATTGATCTTTGGAATGCAAATGGCTGGGATAGTCTCGTAGGGACTGTGGAATAAGTTGTAACTTAAAATATCAGTCGGGATAGTCGGTCTCGCGTGACGTTCTGACGACGAAGCCTGACTGTTAACTATTGTGTCGCGACTTTCTGTTCAGTTATGATCCTGAGATTCCATCAGAGATTTTCAGAATCTGAATCAACCATGTGTTCGGCTTTGAATTTGTACGTTCTGTAGGAAAGGAGTCCAGAAGATGAAGACTGGGCCTAATATGTCCAGAAACAAATGAGTCGGCGTCTCCCTTCTGTGTGTCGTTGGCAGACAAACGCGCTCAAGACGCTGAAAGGCATGAACCACGATATATCAGTTCCTCTGCAGCGTTTAGTCTAGTGACAGTCGTGCTGCTCAGATGTCACCCGGGTTGCTGGCGTCCGCGGAGACAAATCGCCGTCCATCCAGCTGACTTGCCCAATACATCAGATCCGTCAAGTTAACCTTCTGTTTTAATGCATTGCCACGGATGTCCAAACCGCTCAGAGTTTCTGAAATTTTCATGAAAGAAACTTCGCTGAGATTTCGTGAAATAAATTATTGTGCTGTGTAACGCGATGAATTAAAATGTTGTTTCTGTCTGTACATAAAACTTTGTTATGTCCCAGTTATGAATTAATATATGGCCACATCATGTTTCGGTCTCACAAGACCACAATTAAGTGGCACACAGTCATGGTAACAGTTTGCAAATTGAATTGATATATACGGCTCAACAGGTACTTGACCTAAGATATCTCCCGTTGGTGTTGATGTCTGGTAGCAGCGAAGCACACCCATCTTCCCCCCCTGCACACCCATCTTTCCCCCCCCCTGCACACCCATCTTCCCTTCCCTATTACTGTGACGTAGCCCAGTCTTGGAGATATTTTGCGTCCACTGTACATTACTGTAGTTGCAAACTTGGATACCCCTCCTCGCTAACTACAAGTTCTGTTTTCTCGTCGTACTGGTTTCAGACTCAATACCATATGAAGGCGTATTTGGTATGCACAAGCTGCGGTGTATGTAGGTAATCCAATTGAATTATTGATGGATGGCACGTTGCCTAACACTACTGGGTTATTAGGAAGACACATTTAATTAAGCTCCTTTCACAGACGTGACCAAAACTTACACGTGTAAACAACTCCATGCTACCACGTCTTCCTTGAACTTTTGCTGATATTAATCTGGTCCAGAAATTCCGTACTTTTATCCAACTGGAAAGTTCATTAACATGTTCAAAGAAGCACGACATTGGGCTCTGTCTGCTGCCTGCGTTAGTTCAGTCCTGCATTTTAATATTATCATTTTAACTACGCTTGTGTCCCTTGGAATTGTTCGTTTTTTATCTCCATGTATGTTTCACCCTTTCCATCTTAACAGTACTGATTCAATCACGCCTGACAGCATTAAGTGTACCCTGCTCAATTTATGTGATTTGTAATTAAGAATCACACAGGGCGAGATTTGAACTCTAAGATAGAAGTTTGGTCGTGGCCGATGTGGAATTTTGGCAGATTTAACACTTGTAATAGTTTCGCGAGAGGGCAACAGATTAAATAAATTGTTGAGCAGGGAGAGCGGATTGGACTTCTTCTCTGTTCCAGAAGTTATTGAACTTTCGCATTGAACTTCTTTGTGTGTGCAATCCGTATCGTCCAAATTGCGAACACAACAGATTAGTTATTTGTAAGGCGATTATGCCTACCCGTTCCCAGCAGTAAACCTCTTACAGGGACAAGAGAATTAGACTGCTTCTGTGATTGTATTAACTAGGCCGGCCGGAGATAATATCAATAAAGCGACTGTCTAGAATGGAACGAGATCTCGTGAAAACCACTTTCACAGCTGACCAAACGCTTCGGCGAAGTGCGTAAGGGGAGTGTCTCAACTTGGGACAGTTATCGCGGTGGGTGCACTGCCGTCTTATTCTTCTTCTTCTTCTGAAGCTTGTCTGATGCATGAGTCAGCCGTGCCCTGATTTAAGTTAACTCTTATTTGGAAAAGGTCGCAGTATATTGTAAGAATAGTTAAATAAAGGAGATTGTGATTATTTGGAGTATACCGAGACATTTCAGTCGCGTCTTACAGCAACGCGTCAGTGAGTGTTGCAGTGTATTTGTGTCCGTATGAATATAATAACGGATATTAATCAAATGTTACGTTGTAAGTCCATATTAAATTTATTAATTTAATTTTGTTTTTAAGTAAACGACTTGAACAATAAAAAATATGCATATAACAAATGTTAAAACGACCATAAGTGTTCTGACCGCTAGACCACCGTGACGGCTGAATATGCATATAAAAAATGTTAAAACGACCATAATAAAGAGATTGTTACTTAAAGCGCATTGTTTCCAATATAATCATTACAAACAACAATAAATAAGTCTGAAGATGGCTGTCTCCTGGGATGTTGCGCCGTCACGTCTCGTAGAAATTGAACGACGTTTCGGAGGTGTATACTGTCTCCATCAACAGGACGATGAGCCGTATGAGACTGCACGGCGCAGCGTCTTCCTACTCGCCGCACTGAGGACCTGAAATTCAATCTAAACAAAATCTTCTACACACATAGGCCTATAGTATATGCTTATGTCGCCTAATCACGTGTTAATAGCCAATGTATTAATCAATGATCGAAACAAAAATTGCAGCTTTTAACAATACGGTTAATTCATTGTTACGTCAGTTCGTTTTCGAGGCGTTGACCATCGTTTACTGAAGTGGACTCCGCAACTACGTAGTTCTTTCTATAGGACTCGGTGTATTCGTGAGACACCAAACACTTTGTTCACCGTGTTAGAAGTTTCGGGCGTCAACGCATACAAAGGAGTGACTATGGACATTTAAATAGCAATAACAAGTATCTGCCTGAATTCTGACAAACTTTAAAACTTGTTATTAAGTGAGTTAACGTCATTCCAGTCAAATCACCGAAACTTCTTTCAGTATCAGTGTCACCTGGCACCTCATCGTTTTTCATTCGCCATTGATCCCCCCCCCACCTTGGATATTTTTATGTATTTATATTTAACGACAATTTCAGTGTGTGGACGTTGTGTCACAGCTACCATCATCAGGCGCCCTGATGATGAAGTCAGCAAGGACCTCCGAAACGTCGGTAAACTTCTACCAGACTACACGGCTACAACCCAGAAGACAGCCATCTTAAATTTGTGTTTGTACTGACTTGCGATATTTGTTAGGGGACACGCAGTGTAATTAGTGTCTGTATATGCATTTGGTAGAAGAGACTTCTGTACAACTGCATGGGGCTGTTTGTTCACGGTATCATTTGTTTTGTCAAATGTCTGATGCCAGGCCATCAACTACACACCTAGTGGGAGGCCGATATGGTCTTGCCTGCAAGCTGCTGTCCGAATGATAAAGGACAAGGTGGCAGTAAGGTCGTCTGTTGTTTGTCATTAGCATAAAAATATTTACAGGTTCTTTCTAATGTTCCTTGTCTAGTCGTTAGATTTAACGACTTCAACCCCTGCTGTAGAAATCCAAGAGCCTGTGTTTCTGATTTCTGAAATTTCGTACCTGCTTCGTCAGAAAACGTTAGCGAAATATAATACGGTATATAATGTAGGATTTGAGGTCCTCAAAAGAAACACTGCATTGAACATAATTATGACCAATTAAATTCAAGAAAATAATATAAATAAAAAGTGCATGAAAAATGAAAAGGTGGAAACAAAACTGAGCTATTAACATATAAAAAATATTTTGATATCGAAAAGTTGAATCCAAGGGAGACAATGTTTTGGCTATTGTTATTATTATAAAGAATTGAATTATTATTATTTTTATTATTATTAGTGGCATATAGTGGGACAGCTTTTTTTTTTTAGTAATAGTTGTATCCTGTATCAGCAGCCAGAAAGCCAATTACAGATAACAGTGATCATAGTAATAATAATTTTAAGGATACGCAACAATTATTTCGTCATATGTTCCAACGCTGTTGCCGTAAGGATGGTAGTTAGTTCGTAACGTTGGTCCTGTCTTCTTTAGGAAACGGAACAGACTGTCTGCTATATATCCTGTGTGTTTTAAGTTCCGTTTATGTCTTGGCCTAGATGGGCTGATGGTAGTTGACGCTGTCACGTGATCGAGGAAAGGTTTTTTAACTTCTGTGCCGTAGCTTTTATCAGTTTTCACGCAGCGATAAACACTGATTGAGGAAGACGCCGTGGTAACGCGGTGAAGTCGAGCTGAATGTTGGGTAATCACTTAATGGTTATAGTTTAACGTATTCTGTTCAGGTACGAAAGCAATTTTATTCCCGAAGTCATGATTTGCACAAATCATTTATTCTTAAAGAATCGCTGATATAATAACAAGACAACCTATTTTGTACGCGCCGTAGAAATTGCTATTAAACGCCCTGCCATCGTATTCCTGTGTTGGTTCACAAAGCATTGCATATGGGATTAAGTATGTCACAGGCGGATGTCATACGTAAACAAAATACCCCTTATAAAGCCGCCCTGGTGGTGCATTGACCTATTATTCTGCATAGGCTTGTGTCAAAGCTCCATTTCTTACGAATTTTCTGTTTATGTTAATGCATGGGTGATATTTATTTTACACATCTGTTCACATTTTTTAAACGCTCATTGCACTAGCATTGTCGTTTAAGTATGGAAGTTATCTTCATGTAAATAAACAATGCATAAAGTTTGCAGGCATCTGTCATTTTCATTTGCCCGGTTGAAGCCAGAACTGACATGCAGCTTTAATAACCTGTGTTAACGCCTGACTTACCTTTTTGTCATTATCGCAGCAGCAGAGAGCTCGTAATTAGGTTTCGTGTCTTCTGTTTCCAGAAGCGACGTGCTGTTCCAGAGCCACGGGATCCTGTCGAAGCGCCTGCGAACAGGTAGGAGGCAAATTGAATTCCCTGACGTACGAATTACATTACTTCGTACGTCTGGCAAGTTTTGAAGGACACATGCGTACGGCGTGTATGTAACCAAGAACTATTTGATAACTATCTGACAATCTGTAATGCAATTAGCGTTGTATTAGCAATAAGTGAAAATTAAGATATGTAAAATCGCAAGGAATCGTTTGGAAAATGTGTGACCGAAAATGTAGTACGCTTTTCTGCCGACAAGCGATGATCTTCGCTGATCTGTTCGGATTTTCGGGTGTAGGCCTGTACTTGTCCGTAATTCTGATGTGTGCCTTGTCACTTGTCTAGCATGGAGGCCAACGTGTAAATTGGCGGTGTGTTTGTGTGCACACAGAATGAGTGTTGGGTGTGTGTACAGTTTTTTAACTGGTAGTAAAATATTTGTGTTACTGTGTGCGCATGTGTCAGTGATGTGTTGTATTCCTCCTCCCGGGGCGCTGTCATGGCGAAGCACACTGACGAAAACACTGTAGATGATGATGGTGATGATGAACTGTGTAGTTATAATCATCTTAGTATCTTCACAATACAACAAATAGAAACTGCGTTAATGAAACGAATTGATAATTGAATGTGGGAAATGCTTGCTGTCCTCTGACTTATCTACGTTTCTTAAAAATCTTCATTATGTATCCTCTTAAGAGAGGGAGTTACGTTTACATAAGAAAAACTATAAAATTCGTAACTTACGGAATGTTCGTTTCGTTTATGTGGCCGAAGCTCGCTGAAGTGTCTCACTTGTAATTGATCGTTACATTTATTTGAATAAAAATCTTCTTGGATATTATCCATCGTCTAGTCAATAAAATATAAAACGTAAAACGACGTTTCGGAGATGGGGCTCTATCTCCGGACCGGAGATAGGGAATAGCTCTATCTAGTGGGCCCAACTGAGTAGGAACCTGAAGACGGAGATAGAGCCCCATCTCCGAAACGTCGTTTTACGTTTAATATTGTATTTACTAGACGATAGATAATATCCAAGAAGATTTTTATTCAAATGACTCTTCACCATCGTCAATAATTTTTAGATTTGACGTTACATTTAAGTTGTGTATCTGATCCGAGAGAGCTGTGATCCTGATTCATTGACATTCGCTACACAACACACACCCTGAGGATAGCCGTGTAGTCTGGCAGAAGTATACCGACGTTTCAGATGTGCCTGCTGTCGCTATCATCAGGGCGATCCCTGATAATGGAGGCAGCCATCTTCGAACTAACAGCCGTGAAAAGCTCAAATCGTAATACACGCCCTGTTAATAAAGAGGCCTCCTTCACATTCAGGTTGTCACAAAAAGATGTGTGCACATTATAATAAAGAAAAAATCTTGTTGGATGTACAGCTTTTTGCGACGCTCTGTGTTTGTGTTAGAGCATATTGCAGTAATAGCTTTATTGCTGTGTTCGGCGTTCGTGGAATAAAGTGCATTGGCCTGTGCCAAATGTCTGAAGGTTATTATTAACACATCAGTCCCTCTTAGTGGCTTGCCATTATCGTTCACGCTGTGGCCACATTTCAAAAACACAAAGCGGAAAATAATTTATGCGCCTAAATACTGACTTCTGGGTCCTTTGTGCGAGTCTGTATCAAATATTCGCATTGTTCTTGATCGAATACATGTTTCGTGGCTTATTTTACGATGCTTTTTCAGCTGCTTAGGTTGAGCAGAGTCGATGGCAATGAATTGAAAATCAGTGGGGCTTCTAACACGTTTCATTTGAATGTTATCCTACCGGAAGCGATGTCACAAAGAAGTTGTACGTTAATTTGTTTTGGATTCTTGTTTTGGTGTCTTATGCACGACCATCATCAATAAGACACGTCATTTTATACGTGGGACTATATTTTACTGCGCTCGCTTACAGACGTGACCGGAAGTTTTTATTGTCTATATAGTATTCATACATGCTTGGGCCGGACGTACGTAATCTTAGTAAGATTGAAATTCGGCACTTGAAGAGTCCTTGCTGGCTGTTGTTCAATGCTGCAATCTTCGCTTGATCTTGATTTTGAAATTACTGTCTCTAGAGGTAGATCTGGGAAATTCTATTACGAAGGATGAACCCCCTCACCCATCAACGATACGTGGTAACTATTAATGGGCCTGAACGTTATGAGGTGCCTACATTTAACTAGGCTCATGTGTAAGCCTACTCATTGCTATGACCGGTTTAAGTCGGGTTTATTGTCATTTTTTTTTCAGTTGACCCTAAGCCTACTCATTGTTATGACTGGTTTAAGTCGGGTTTGTTGTCATTGAAATGATTATTTTTCATTTGATCAAGGATCTCTTCTGTCAAGGTTGACAGCGCGTTTTGAATTCTTAATTTGGTGACAGACATGAGCATCGTCGGTGTCCAGACAATTACAGTGCACCGTTTTCTTCCCCGTTTGATAATAGTAATAATTATGGCTTTCTGGTAGCAAAACACCTGAGTCACACTTTGTGTCGTTCATGTATGCCAACAGTAACTTCAGGTTTGAAATAATGCATTTGTATGAACGTGTCACACGAGAGCAGAACATTTTTAAACACTTTTCTGCAATTTACGTTTTTCTTCAATTTGTATATGATGGTGTTTTGTTATGAAATGTAAGGTTTGTTACCATTTGGCGCAGATGGAGGTGCCTCAGGATCGTGGCCGATTGCCGAGTTTGGTCTTGTCGGTGTTGAACCTGTGGGTTCTGCTACCAGGGATTTTTTTTTTTTTGGTTAGAATTTGAACTATCTGAATAGAGTCACTGTTGACCTTCTTTGAATATGTATAATCACGTGGTCTTTGCAGATACACTACTTTCTCATTGCTCATGGACGTCACGTATCTGGCAAAAGCAAATGTGTCTAGGCAGCGAAACTGCAACCCACCCACACATTCATGATCTGAATCGGTATCTGTGCAGCACATGACAGTCGAACTCCCTAGAATCTTGGCCACCAAGAACGATACATTATCCGATTGAGATGGCGACCTTGCAAATGTTATTCACCTCGCCTCGTAAATGTCATTTAGTTCCTAGTAATTTAGAAGGGTTTAAAACTATTCATGGCTTAATGCATGTGGCAGCAGGGTTGTTATTTCAACACTAATAATGTTTTAGTGTTGTATGCAGACTGAAAATGATGCAGCTTAACTTTCATCCTGTCCTTGTTACTCGTCATTAAATTTCCGTAGCACATTTATGGCTTGCTAGATAAAAAGAACATTCTAGATCACTGTCTTCTGATACACTTGAGGATGCAGAAGAAGTGTGTACTCCAATCTGGAATACAGTTGTTGGTAGGTTTGCACATAAGAGTTTCTCAAATACGTTCTTCGTGATTTTGTGGGTGTCATTTATTTCGATGTTTTTTGTTTGAAGATTCTAATCGGTTGTTGAAAAAATAAATGTAAAAGACATGACGTCACGTAAGGGGCACATTTTTTCTTGGCATATCGTCAAATACACATCATATAGAGACACTTTTGAATGGAAGTTATAAATCTTAACACGGATCATATTTAGAGTAACGTAATTTTATAATGTTTGTACTGTACGATCAGCAGTTTTAAGAAATGTGAAGTTGGATTCAAATTTTATGCAGGGTTTATGGGGGAGTGATATGAACCGAAATTAAATTCTTTTTGCCAACTTTCAGTGCCAAACACCCCCGTCTCTATCCGCCGAAACACAAATTATAGTCGCACTGTAAGCTACAGTGTTCAGTTACGCAAAGAACACTAAAAAAATCAACCTTTTGGCTTGTAGAACATTGTTCTGAATTTCAAGCAGTAGATTGCTATTGTATTTAATTGTCAGAAGTGGATATTTGCTCGCCATATACGTGTCACATCCTTACACCATTCCCATTTTCAGTTGTCTGTGGTGAAGTGTGGACATTCGTCTTTTGGAGCCTGTGTGTATACGAACATGTTCTTATTGTAATAACAATGATAATGCATTATGTATATTGCGTTAGTCACATGGAGAACCACGCCTAAAATTTACGCCACGAACGAACATGTGACAACCTCCCTAGGAGATCATATCCTTCTTGAGTGACTCACGAATACGGGTATTGACTTTACAAATCTTCTTATCATAATTCTTATAGAACTGCAGCCCATTGTAGTCTTGAAAGCCAGTTGTGACAAGTAGTTTGTGTCCGTCTTTGTAAGGAACTACAGAGTGTTCAAAAGAATTCTTTACAGAAGTGAAGTGGAGACGGTTAGAGACATATTTAAGAGAATTCATCTTCTTCCAGAAAACATGGTGAAACGCGCACTTCTTGTGGAGTTGGTATTATTACATTGCTTGAAAGTCAGGAACTAATCTCAGCTCCATAGTCCATGAATTAGTCTGTCTTACTGACGTGTAACGCCATTCGGTTTGCACTGCATGTAGCTATTTTGAATGTTATTAATTCCGTAACATGCATGTACTTTCGTCTGTGAATTAATTTATTAATAAACGCTTCGTTACGGTCGGTCGCGTAATAATAACGCAAACAAGAACTATAGATTTATATTACGTGATCGATACATAGGGTTTTACTAAGTCAAGAACATTGCTTGAATCGTAACTTTTGCTTATTTTGTGATCTTCGATTTATTTGATTAGATTTCAGCTACACGCGGCGATGAGTGTGAGGAATGTTGCGCCGTGTAGTCTGGTAGAAGTTTACCCACGTTTCAGAGGTCTTTGCTGCCTCCGTCATCAGGGCGATGAGTCGCGCAACAACCCAGAAGACAGCCATCTTCAGACTCATCGCCGTGAGAACCTCAAATCCTACCGTGTCTGGCCTGATAGACGTTTACAGACTTCTAAACCGTCTGTGGGTGATCTTACTACACGGCGTAGCATTCCAGAAGACAGCCAACTTCATATTTTTTGCTTAAAATAATGTATACATCAGCCTGCAAGTCATTACTGTGAAACGCAAATACTCGAATACCAAAAGGCCATGCTTATTGACCGAATA